GGAAGCAGCTCCAGCCCAGGGAAGCAGCTCCAGCCCAGGGAAGCAGCGTGTGCTCCGCACCCGGAGCGGCCCCTCGGAGCGGCACATGAAAGGACACGGACACACATCGCCCCAAATCAGCCCCAGCAGATGCTGACACACGACTGCTTCTAGTGGGGAGGGTATTCCACTGAGCCAGAGGGGCTTGGACAAAAATCCTGCTTGATTTTTCCTGTTGTTTTTTTTTTCCCCCTCCTGTTCAGAAATGGCATCGGACGTTTCCTCGCTGGGCGCAGCCGTCGGCTCCGGGACCCCTGGATCGGGAGCCCAACCTGGAGGGGCCGTGGCTCAGAGAGGCAGCAAGAGGAGACCTGGGTGAGTGTGTGCTCAGGGCTGTGCTTTTGGGGGGAAAAAGGGCTTTTTGAAGAAGCTTTTTCACTGGGAAGAGCCGTCAGCCCTGGAAGGGGGAAATGTGGCTGGTTCTGAGAAGTCTCCTGGCTCCTCCAGGTGGGATTTATCCAGCCCTTTCCTTCGTGGTGATATCTTTGGGCCAGATACACCCCTTAAAGAGGGAGTTAAATTCCAGCTCAAAAAGGCATTGAAGGCTGAGTTGCACCTTGGAGGAGGAGCAAACACACACCAGGGATTGAGAGCGAAACAGGAGTCGCTGAAGCAGCAACAGCAGCTGCTGCAGGATGTGGAGGAACAGGGAATCTGGATTTTGGGGCCTTACTCCAACCTTTGCAGCTGTGCCGTCCCTGGGAGGGGTGTGGGGAAGCCACAATGTGCTTGTGGGAGGCTTTTTGTTTGCTAAAAATGCCTTTGCAAATTCAAAGGGGCTGGAGTGGCTGTTCCCAGATTCCTGGCACGAGAAATGGCCTCGTAATTTTGAAGCAAACTAAAATCTGGTCCTGGCCCTTCCCAGTCACTCAAACTCTTTCCTTCAGCCCCATTTGCTGGTGCTCCCACTCCCCTGCAGCTCCTCCCACCCTCTCTGCTCCCCTGCATCCCCAGTTTTCCATCCCAGAAGGAAAGGTGGGAAGTCCTTCCCACTTGTCAGAACTGGGGTTTTGGCCCTGTGTGAGCAAACAGGCACCAACTGAACTTTAACTCCAGGAAAGTTTTACCCTCTTCTCTTTTTTTTTTTATTTTAAATGCACCCAATGCAGGTTTTGAGCTGGGAACACTCTGTTTGATGGTCTCTTGAGCAGCCTGGATGGCTCCCAGGAGATCCAGAGCTTCTGGAACCGGAGGCTGGGATGCAGTGGGTGCTCCAAGCGGCTTTTCTTCCTTTTGGAATTCTTTTTCCTTGCTCTGTTTCTGATGGACACCTAAAGGAAGCCCCTTTCCAGACTTTGTGGGTTGTTTCACATTAGGATCACTTAATTATTTTGGGAGTACTTAATTCTTCCTTTCAGGAATCATCTGCATCCATAAGGACAGACAGAGAAGCAACTTAAAGGAGAAGCCACTGGATTAATAATGTTCTTCTTCCTTCTGTTTTTCAGGCTGGACTTTGATGATGATGGAGAAGGGAACAGTAAATTCCTCAGGTGAGGGAGAACGTGGCATCCACAAGTTTCTGTCCTATGGTCTCGGGGGTGTCTGTGTGTTTTCCCTGGAGCAGGATCTTGCTGCTCCTGTGTCTTTTCCTCTCTGGAAGCAGCGGGAATTGCTCCACTTCCTTAAACTCTTCCCTTCCTCCCAGTCAGCAGAAATCCCCCATCTCTGCAGCTTTTGTTGCTGCCTCAGACACGTGTTAATTCACCCTCATCTGTTGTAAGGATGCTTCAGTTCCAGAGGCATCCTCATTCCCAGGGAGCTGGCGGGGCTGCAAGGATCTCCTCGTGATCCATATGGAACACAGAAGAGCTGGAATGTCTTGTGTCCTTTATTTGTAGCCTCACTATGTGGTTCAGGATTGAATAATGATGCTGGAACTCCATGTGTTCCAGTGCTTTAAGGATGGTTCCAGGATGAGTGTAGGATTTACCTGTGGAAACCCCTGGGATGAAGGTCTTGATCTGGGTGACCTTTATCTTGCAAGTGCAGTTTAATATATTCCTTTTTATGGGATTGAATTGAGTGTGACCCCCCCATCCCTGATAGGAATGTGGTGTGGAAAACCCCGTGGAGGGGATGCCCACAGCTCAACCCTGGGGTTTGGAGGAGACAACTGAAGATTGTCCACTCACAGCCAAGTTTTTAACACCGGGCCCTTTTTGTTTGATTTATTAAACCTCCTTTTCTCTGTGTTTTTTGGGGGGAAAGAAGGAATTGTAAACACTTTACCCTCTCCCCTTCTCCTAGATGTGACGATGACCCGATGCCAAACGATAAAGAGAGATTTGCCAGGTAAGGACTTGCTGGTTTGAAACCTTTTTGTGCCAAAACCCCTTAACTCAGGAGAGATCCTGCAGCACCTTTCTCCCTGGCCGTCGGATCGTCTCCCTTTGAGGGTGCTCCAGAGGATCCACAGGTTTTCCTTGGTGTTCCTGGACAGTTCATGGAGTGTGATGAAGTGACATTGCTCTTTTGCACCTTTCCTTTCAGCTCTGGCCTCGGACTCTCCCTCTTTTCTCCTGCTCAAGGAACTTGCAGAGATACAAGTTTCCTGCTTAGTTACAAGTTGTCCTTGAACGGGGTTTCCTGGGGTTGTGTGTTTTATGGGGAATTGGGCAGAAGCTTTACAAATTGGGAGTTTTCCCGGAGATTGTAGGGAATGTTTTGGCTCTTGATTCCTTTTTGGTGTCTGACAGTAGCTCTAATAACCAACCTAAACCTCCCCTGGCACAACTTGAGACCATTTCCTCTCATCCTGTTGTTATCTGGGAGAAGATCCCGAACCACCCCCCGCTCCAGGGAGTTGCAGAGTGAGAAGGTCCCTCCTGAGCCTCCCTTTCTCCAGGCTGAGCTCCCTCAGGAGTTCTCCAGCCCCTTCTCCTGGTGCTCCAGCCCCTTCCCCAGCTCTGTTCCCTCCTCTGGACACGCTCCAGCCCCTCAGTGTCTGTCTTGCCCTGAGCTGCCCCCAGGACTGGAGGTGCCCCAGCAGTGCCTAAATTGGGGGTCACTGCCCTGCTGTTCCCTGCAAAGGGTTACAGGGAATTCCAAGCTGGGATTCTCCAGCTTTTTAAGTGCTTTGAGTCATTCTGAAGTCAAGCAACTTAGAAATATGTTAGAGAGAGTAGAATATTTCTAATATTAGAAACTGGTGAAGCAAATTAAAACTCAGTAAATGTCTTAAAACTCCAACACACATCAGGCACCAGTTGAATGTGGAATATTGCAAACTAATGACTGTTTTATTTTATGGAACTGCTCCTCTGCAAAACAGACCTGTCCCTAGGCTGGGTTTCCTAGTCCATCTTTCCATTTTTATTTTTCCATTTCTTTCAACTTTTTTTCCATTTTTAGCTTAGCTGGCTGATTTTATTTTTAGGTCTGATGATGAGCAGAGTTCAGCGGATAAGGAGAGACTTGCCAGGTAGGAGAACGGAGATTTCCAGCATGGACAAGCAGAGTTTTCCTTTCCTTCATGTCTCTCTAGGCATCCCTTCTCTTTTTTCTTTTCCCCCCTTCTTCCCTCATCTGCTGCAGAGGACTTAACAGACTCCTGGAAATTGCTGTGAAACTGAAATTAGGAGGGGAAAGGCATTTAGGAAAGGCACATCTCATCTTTGGGAGAGTGTTTTTAGGGAATGCACAGAAGGATCTATTTGCCCAAGGCCCCAGGTTGGGCTCTTGCTTTCACACCTGTGCTAAACACACCTTCCCTCATCCTGCATCGAGGGGTCACCTGGGAAAGGTTTTGTGTCCCAGGAATGCTGTTGGACTCAGGGAACAGGCACAAAAAGGGGGGTTAGTTCAGGGACTTTTCGCTCTTTAAGACTGTTCCACCCCAGACTTGTTCTGAAGCAAAGCCCAGGACTAAAAAGCCCGTCCTGGGTGCTGAGAATGCCCCAGTTTTGGGCAGTTTGTTGCCCTCTGGCCGTGTTTAAACCCAAACCTGCCCCTCCAGGCAGCCTCTGGTGGCTGCACTGTGCCTTGGGAGATCAGGAAGCCGTGGAGGTGAGGCCTGGGAATACAGGGAAGCAGCAAAGCTTGCCAAGGGATTGTTCCCAGGAGCCTCTACTGAAGAATATCTCATAGAGCCATGAAATGGTTTGGGTTGGAAGGGACCTTAAAGCTCATCTCACTCCTGGCAGGGACACCTTAAAGGTGAGGTCACTGAATGAATGAATGAGAGGGGAGGTCACTGAGTGTTTGCACACACCTGGTAGTGAGAAACGCTCCATTTTTGTATTTATCCTCTTTATTCACCTGCCTGTCCTCGTTCCTTCCAACACCTCCATCTCATTTCACTTCCCACCGTGTGCCTCCTTGCACCCCATCCATCCTCCTGTACAGGAAACCTGGCTTTTGAGCTCTGTTTTGGAAAACCCACCTTAGGAACCCAGTTAATTGACGTGTTCTGGATAAAAAGAAGCAGGTTCTGGTCTGTGGGGTTGATGGGGGCTGTGCCCTGTGAGCCAAAGGGGTGCCAAGAACCTCTTTGAAGGGGCAGGAATCGCCGTGGTGCCTCTTTAGAGGTTGGTGTTGCCTGGCCCGTGGCCTGCCCAGGTTGATCTGTGCAGAAATCAGGTGTGACCTGCTCTCAAGTTTCCCTCCTGGGATTCTGGGAAAGGCTCTCGGTGTAACAGAGAAATGTCTTCCCCAAAGCACCTCAAGATGAGACTCAGCTGACTGAGGTTCCTCAAAATCCTGGAATGGTTTGGGTTGGAAGGGGCCTTAAAGCTTCTCCAGTCCCACCCCCTGCCATGGTCTGGGACACCTCCCACTAGCCCAGGTTGCCCAGAAGAGCAGTCACCCCAGTTTTAGCTGCAGCCACGCTCTGGGTGTGCGAGGGGTGATGGTGGAGGGGATCTCAGGGATCTCCTCCATCCTGGGATGGACAGTGGGGCTGAGTCCCCCTCACCTGCCCTGGTGAGAGCAGAGGAGGGATCCCTTTGGCTTCCTGCACGCTGTGGAGTGGAGGGGGAAACCAAACCAGCTCCTGCTGGTCCCGGGGAGCCGCTGTGACTCCGAGCAAGGTCCTCAGCCCAGCAGGTCCAGGTGTAGCCTCTCCCCTCGCCCTCGTCCCCGCTCCCTGTGCACGCCCAGCATGTGAGCCTTCCTTCCTGCTAACCCGGCGGTGCATCTCCGTGTGTGGCACCCGCGCCAGCCTTCCCGCGGGGACTTCATCCTCCTCCTCCTCCTCTTGTCCCCCCCCCTCCCCGGGGCTCCTGCAGGGAGAACCACAGCGAGATCGAGCGCAGGAGGAGGAACAAGATGACTGCCTACATCACGGAGCTGTCGGACATGGTGCCCACGTGCAGCGCCCTGGCCCGCAAGCCGGACAAGCTGACCATCCTGCGCATGGCCGTGTCCCACATGAAGTCCCTGCGCGGCACCGGCAACACCTCCACGGACGGCACCTACAAACCCTCCTTCCTCACCGACCAGGTCTGGGCCAGGCACGGAGCCGTGGAAGGGGGCGGGGTGGGAGGGACCTCAGAGCCCCTCTGGTGCCACGGGGACACGTCCCACTGCACCAGGTTGCTCCAACCTGGCCCTGAGCGCTTCCAGGGGTGAGGCAGCTTCTCTGGGTAACCTGTGCCAAGGCCTCGCCACCCTCACGGGGAAGAATTCCTTCCCGAAATCCCACCTAACCCCGCCCTCTATCAGTGTACAAACCATCCATTAAGGTCCTGGAAGACCACAGTGAGGTCTCCCTGAAGCCTTCTCCTCTTGGCTTGATGCTGGGAAATACAGCAGTCAGAGGGGAAAGTGGAATTACGGCGGGGCAGGAATGGGCAAAACCCATGGTGGGGGTTTGACCGTGGAGCTGAGGGGTGTCCGTGTGTCCACAGGAGCTCAAACACCTGATCCTGGAGGCAGCCGACGGCTTCCTGTTCATCGTGTCCTGCGAGACGGGGCGGGTGGTCTACGTGTCCGACTCCGTGACCCCCGTGCTGAACCAGCCACAATCCGAGTGGTTCGGCAGCACCTTGTACGACCAGGTGCACCCGGACGACGTGGGCAAGCTGAGGGAGCAGCTCTCCACCTCCGAGAACGCCCTCACAGGTACAGCCCCCCCGGGGAGAGCAGGGCTGGGAGCGGGCAGAGCCCGGGAGGACTCGGATTAAACCCTTCCCTTTGTAGAAGGAACCAAACCCTGGTGCCTTTCTACCAAGGATGCCGCAGCCCCCCCCGAGAATGCGTCTAAAGGTACCACACGGTGACAACTCGTGCCCTGCCAGTCTCCCAGTTCGATTCCTGGAGCCACATCTGTGCTGGGGGAAGGACTCCCAGGGCAGCAGCATCTCCTTGTTCCTCCTTTTCCTAGGTCGGATCCTGGACTTGAAGACGGGCACCGTGAAGAAGGAGGGGCAGCAGTCCATGAGGATGTGCATGGGCTCGCGGAGATCCTTCATCTGCCGCATGAGGTGGGAAGGAATTCCCTGGGGGAATCTCTGAGCCTCCAGCTGAACTTGCTCCCTGGCCCCTCCACGCTTTTATTTCAGCTTTTTTTGGCTGGTTTTGATGTAGAATGATAGAACATGGCTGAGCTTCCCATACAGTCAAGTTCTTGAGGTATTTCTTTGCCCTGTTGTACAAGATCCAGTTTAAAGCAATAATGAGTTTTGGCCCCACGTGTCACCTCCCTTGAATTCTTCAGCATGAGGGCTTTGCATGATGGAAATTCAGACGTTCTTCCCCATTTGTAGGGGATGAACCTTCCTCTTCTTCAAGATACCCAAGATTATTTTTGTGTTGCCCATGAAAGATAAATCCTTTGCCCTCCTTTTTCTGCCCCTGGTGCAGGTGTGGCAACAGCTCCGTGGATCCAGTGGCTGTGAATCGTCTCAGCTTCATGAGGAATCGCTGCAGGTAAATAATATGTGTAGTACAAATAATAGATTTATATAAATAATATATATATAAGTAATACAAAAACCCCACTTTTGCTTCACTTCCCCCCACTTGAACCTGTTTCTCTCTCCCAAGGAATGGCTTAGGTGCAGCAAAGGATGGAGAGCCTCACTATGTCGTGGTGCACTGCACTGGGTACATCAAAGCCTGGCCCCCAGCAGGTGAGGATTCACCTCAGGTGTTCAGGGGGGGCTGCTTTTAAAAGCACTAAAGTTGCCAATTCCAGGAGCTGAACGTGCCAGGAAACGTTTTGCAAGCGTTATCTGTCACTTTTATTTGAAGATTGAACTGATTTTTGCGGGTGCAGCATCAGAGATCTCTGTCTGTGGAGGGTGGAAATAATATTAAACTGTCTGAAATTTAGAGATTTTGAACCCTTCTGGTGATAAGAGGGAGGGGGAGGCACCTTAATATTCCAAATCCCTTCGTGGGAAAGGATATTGAGTTACAAACAGGGGTGCAGAGGTGTCTCAAGGTCTGTTTCTTGTGGAATGAGCAGTTTTTCCTGCATTAACCCTGCTGGAATTTTTGGCCCTTCCTTTCCCAGGTGTTTCCCTGCCCGATGACGACCCCGACGCCGGCCAGGGCAGCAAGTTTTGCCTGGTGGCCATTGGCAGGCTCCAGGTGAGTGCCCCCTTCACCTCCTCCAGCATCTCCTTGTCCTGGAAGCCCCCAGATTGAGACTGTTCCATGTGAAAACATTCCCTGATGGCCACAGAGCCCCAGTGCAGGGCTGGCATTGCCAACGCTGCCCGTGTCCCCTGCCAGGTGACCAGCTCTCCCAACTGCACAGACATGAACAACGTGTGCCAGCCCACAGAGTTCATCTCCAGGCACAACACCGAGGGCATCTTCACCTTCATCGACCACCGCTGCGTGGCCACCGTTGGCTACCAGCCCCAGGTGAGCGCCCTGAGGGGCTCTGAGACCCAAAACTGCTCCTCAGAATTACTTCTTCTTCCACATCTCGCCTCTGCTTTCACACAGAGCTGATCAGCCACACCCAGGGCTTAATCCAGACGTGTTTCTTCTCCCCCAGTTGCTTTGCCATGTGTTTTTCCAAGCCCTTTGATCGTGGGAAGGCTGGGTGGCTCTGGATTGTGTCAAATGTCAATTAAAGCCTTTTTTTTGCCTTAAATCGAGTTAAAGATCAAACATTAATCAGCAGCTGTCGTGCTTCTCTTCAAGAAACAGCACGCCAGCCCCTGGGCTTGGTTTGTGTAATGGGGATCTGGGGGGGAAGGAGCAGGAACTACCTGTCCAAAGCAGGATTAATTGTGGAATCTGCCTGCCAGATGAACTGACTCCATCTCTCTCACGATTTCCTTGAAAATCAGGAACTTTTGGGGAAAGACATCGTGGATTTCTGCCATCCAGAAGACCAACAGCTTTTACGGGACAGCTTTCAGCAGGTAAAAAACATTGTAGCTACCCTTTGCATGCAGGGTGGGACTGAGGTTGGAACTGAGGTTGGAATTCAGATTGGAACCGAGGTTGGAATTCAGATTGGAACCGAGGTTGGAATTCAGACTGGAATGCCTCGGTGCTTGCAAAACGGCGAAATTTAATTGAAAAACCGAGAGGAAAAATAAACCTTAGATAATTCTCCTTTGCAAACAGATCAAGTCATGTAGTTAAAATACAGAACAAACCAGAAGCATCTGATGTCTTAACTCCTGAATCCCTGCTCTGGCTGCTGGGCCAGGCTGCCTTTAGGGCTGGGGATGTGGCTCCCAAGGGCCTGCTTGACTTGCTGTGCTCCTGTGGCTGAAACCCTGGTTCATCTCTAGGGCCCAGCCCAGTGCTGCAGAACCCGAAATGGAGGTGGTTTTCTTGCCCTGTTATTTCTGAGGGCCTTGGACTGGTGGCAGGGCAGGTAAGGCTGCCCCTGTGCTTTCATGACTCCAAAAACCAGCTGCTCATATCCATTGCTCCAAACCGTTGGAATCGGAGGCGACAGCATGTGTTCCATTTCTTGGAGGCTTTTTCATACATCCCACCAGTGCAAAGGCATAGGAGGAGTGAAGCCAAAAAGGGGATTTTAGATTCCCCTCCTGTATCCTTTGGGAATCAAGGTGTCCTGAGGGAACAGTGCCATTTAGTTTGGGAAGGCTGAGATGTGCCAGGTTTGAGGCAAAGGGCCATCGCAGGGGTTTTTGGGGGGTGGCTCTTGCTCAGGTTGCTCCTCAACACCCTTGGTCAGGTGCTACTCCTGGAATTCCTGTTTTTTTCAGGTGGTGAAGTTAAAAGGCCAGGTTCTGTCGGTCATGTTCCGCTTCCGATCCAAAAACCGGGAATGGCTCTGGATGAGAACCAGCTCCTTCACCTTCCAGAACCCCTACTCGGATGAGATCGAGTACATCATCTGCACCAACACCAACGTCAAGTATGTGCATGGAGAGATGACCTGCCTGGGGGGCTCCTATCCCAGAATAACCGTGGGATCCTCGGCCTCTCCCCCTCTCCAAACTTCCCACTGCTTTGCACAACCCTGGAGAAGTTCCCAAGTCCCTCGAGCTCCCGTTTCCTGGGCTGTGCCAGGCATTGGGAGGACTTACAAAGTGCAGGAATTGGAGTGTCTCTGGCTTAACAAGCTGCCAAAATTCAGCTCCAGCAGTGCCTGGAGCCAGTGAAATCTGCCTCAGAATGTGGCTCTTGGATTGCTGTGACAGTCCAGGAGGTTACATATCCTTTGGGAATGGTGAGAGCCTCTCTCTCCTCCCATGAGGGAGCTCCGGGCCTCTTACACAAGAGCTACAAACCCCCAGAATTGGTGTCTGTGTGTGATGTGGAGCTGCAGCCTTGGCAGGGGCAGCCACTGGAGTCTCCAGCAGGCAAACAGGAGGCTGGATTGCTCGGGAAAGGGAAACCCAGGAATCTGCTGCAGGCCTGATGTCCTGCCCCGTGTCAGAGCTGCCCCTTTGGACTCCTTCATTCCACACACAGCCATTCCCACATCCATAACCCACCTCCCAAAGTCCCTGTGGAGCAGCAGTGTCTGGGCCTGGTTGTGTTTGAGGGGTGTTTTGTTCAGGGGCAGCTCTCCAGGTTGCATGTGCTGCTTCATCTTCAAGAGCAGGGGCTGCTGAAGCAGCAGCTTCCAAAAGAGACCCAGAAAACACTGGATTTTTATTAATTTATGGCGGGATTTAAACATTTCACTGGGTTCTCACGGTTCACAGAAGAGCATAAAGAACTTGCACCGTGTTTTGGGCTTAAAACCTGAAACTGCTGGTGGTCTCTGAGTGTCTGACAGAGCTGAACTTCAAGGGTTTGGAGGTTCCCACAGCCTTTGCTTGTGCTTTAGGGATGCTGCAGATCCAACCACGCTCCTGGTGCAGGTTATTATTGCTCAGGGACTGAGCATCCCATTGCACAGCACCTCCTTTCAGGGACACCAGGTGGAAAGATCCTTCCCTCAAAGAAGGGTTTACATCTTGCCCGAGACAGCCACACCCAGAACCCAACTTTGCTTCCAGCTGGGATTTTTTTGAACCTTTTTTTTTTAATTCTCCCTGTGTTTGCTTTGAAGGAACTCGAGCCAGGAGTCCCGGCCTGCCCTGGCAAACTCTCTGCCGAGGCCCCAGCTGGGGCAGAGCGTCAACCTCCCCCTGGACATGGGCACAGCCCCGCTGCCCTCAAGGTCAGGAGGTGCTCAGCTCCTTTTCCCATTTCTGCCCTGCTGTCACAGCCCCCTCCATCCCCAAATCCCCCTCTGTGCAGCCAGGAACTCGGGGCTGACAAACCCCTGGTGTAACCACACGGAGCTGATCCCTTGGGAATTCTCTCTGGCAGCCTGTGTGTTCTCCTGTTACAGACTCTTTCTATTTTAGGCAGCAGCAGCCCCCACAGGCAGAGCTGGAAGTGGGCCCGGGAAGGGAGAGCCTGGCTGGGTATGAGCACTCCCAGGTGAGTCCTCCCCAGAGGAGGGGTTTGTTGTCCTGCTTCTTGTCCTGCTCTGTTCCAAGCACCTCTTTGGGGGTTTAAAGGTGCTGGCACGAGGTTCAGGTGGGTCTGAGGGGAAGGTGTTTCTGTCCTTGGGTGTTGCTGGATCTGCTGCTTGATTCCAATATTTATCATGTGGAGCTGTAGAGTCATGGAATGGGTTGGGTTGGGAGGGACCTTAAATATCATCCAGTTCCACCTCCTGCCGTGGGCAGGGACACCTCCCTGGTTGCTCCAAGCCCTGTCCAACCTGGTCTTGAGCATTTCCAGGGATCCACAGCTTCTCTGGGCAGCCTGTCCTGCTGTGCCAGCCCTGACTGGCCACGTTATCCCGATAAAACACTGGAATCCCGAGCGCAGCCCGGCCCTCAGCCCTTCTCCGTGCTGATTCCTGCTGTGCTGAGGAGTGACAGGTCCTTGTCCCTGCTCCAGGTCCCCGTGCAGCCCGTGAGTGCTGCAGGCCCAGAGCACAGCAAACCCCTGGAGAAGGCAGAGAGCCTGTTCAGCCAGGAGCGGGATCCACGCTTCGGGGAGATCTTCACCGGGATCAGCACAGGTGGGTGAGCAGGGCTCTCCTGGGCTGCTCCTGCACATCCTTCCTGCCTCTTCCCAGGCTGTACTGGATGCTCCAACCCCAGGGAACCTTCATGCAGGTTTATTAGAAAGTGGAGAGGAAATCAAATTAAACAGGGTTAACAAAACCATCCGGAGTTGTGTCTGGAGAAGGAGCAAAGGAGTCCTTCCCAGGGACACGTCTCTTCCAGCTGGTTCCCTGTTGCCAGCCCCAAAATGTCTCGTGCTCTCTCTGCAGACCAGAGCAAGGCCCTCCCTGCCAGCACCGTGCCGGCCAACCCGCCCCTCTTCTCCCAGGGAAACACCTTCACTGCTGCACGGCCCCAGGAGAACTTCAGGTGAGGCTTCACCTTCCCACTTCCCACCTCCATTCCCTCTGTTGCATCCCTGCGCCTCCTGGGTGTGCCCAGGACCTGGGCTGGGTGAGGGCAGCCGTGCCCAGGACACCCAGCTCCACCCAGCAGCTCCTCCCAGTTGTGTCCCAGTACAGAATCATGGAATCATTTAGGTTGGAAAAGCCCTCTGAGATCATCCAGTCCAACTGTTACCCCCCTGTTCAGCACTAACCCCTGTCCCAAGTGCCACATCCACACCTTCTTGGAACACTTCCACCCTTCCCAGGGCGGCCTGATGGGCAGAGTTACCCCCACTGTTGGGCTCATTTCCCTCCCCCAGTACCTCAGACAGACAGTTTTGGTGCCTCTCCCTCCTGCAATGCTCTCCCACGGGCTCAGACTCCTCTCCTCTCCCAGGAGCAGCAGCATGGTGCCTCCGGTGAACATCATCCAGCAGCAGCCGTCCCCCGCCGGCCGGATCTTATCCCAGATTTCCCGGCACTCCAGCCCAGCTCAGGTCAGCGGGACCACGTGGGCTGCAGGGACACGCCCGGTGTTCACACCCCAGGTAGCACAGCCCAAACCCTCAGCTGCAGGGTCCCCGCTGCCTTCAGACCCCACTCTTTGTGGGGGATCATCCCGCTCCCGGCGCCGCGTGTCCGTGGGCTTCCTCCTCTGGGGCTACTCCTGCCAAACCAAGGGCCGGGGGAGATCCATCCCCTCCTCCTCCTCCTCTCCCCCGTTCTCCCTCTCTCACAGCAAGTGGCGTCGCAGCCGGTGAAGACTCGGCCGCCGTCCTTTGGCATGGGGACATTCCAGGGCACCCCGTCCTCCTTCAGCTCCATGACGGCTCCAGGATCCACGGCCTCTCCCACCGCGGCTCCGTACCCGGCCCTGGCCGGCCGAGGCTCCGGCTTCAGTGAGTGTGGCTGAGGGAGCTGGGAGCACCCCCTGGATACAGCTGGGCTGGGATGTGCTCTCCAGGGGTTTTGGGGGGTTTGGGGGAGCTCCTAAATGTGGAGAGCAGAGCTGGATCCCTGCTTTGACTGGTCACCCTCCAGCCGCAGAGCTGGGCTCAGTGATCCTTGTAGATCCCTTCCAGCTCAGGATGATCTGGGATCATCCCAGCAGATGAATTTTGAGCCGTGTCAAGGCTGACTGGGAGGAAACAAACCCCCTCTGGGCATCCCTTTGTTCTGCCCCATGGCAACAAACCCACGACAGGAATTCCTGTAGGGTCACCCTCCCCGGGCACCACCCAGAGCTGTGCCCTTCCCAGTCCCACAGAAGCACTGGAGAAGCCCAGGAGTGCTGCCCTGACTGTGTTGTGTGTCCAGCAGGCACGGAGGCAGCTCAGACCCCGGCCCCGTTCCAGCCCCGCGCCGCCGACGCCGTGGGAATGTGGCCCCAGTGGCAAGGGCAGCACCACGGCCCGGGATCCGGAGAGCAGCACGTGCAGCAGCCCCAGCCCAGCCAGCCTGAGGTCTTCCCAGTAAGATGGGGCTTTTTAACCTCCCAAATCCGGGGGGATCCACGGGGCTGAAGGGCCTGGAGCTCGTCCCTCTGGTTCAGATCAACTGGGGAAGTCCCAAACTTCGGGATAACCTGATGGAGATGGAAGTGGAGAGCTTGTGTGTCTTGGTCTGTTGCGGCGAAATCAGTGCAAAATTCCAGCTGGATTAACCCTTCTAGTTCTAATTAATAACAAAAGAAAAGCCCCAATCCAATAAAATTAAGATAATTCCTGAGAATTCCTTTCCCAGGAGTCGCCGATTATCCCTTAAGTTTGCTGCTCCTTAAATTTGCTGCTCCTTAAATTTGCCTTGGACACAGACCCTGTGTTCCCTTGGGAAAAGGAGCATCTTGGTCCTCAGTACCTGCTCCAGCAAACCCACAAGTAAATTGCCAACATGATCATGGATTCATGGAATTGTTGAGGTTGGAAAAGCCTCTGAAATCAAGTCCAGCTGTTCCCCCAGCAGTGCCAAGGCCACCACTAAACTGTGTCCCCAAGTGCCACAGCCACATATTTTTGGACAGTCCCAGGGGCAGCAGCTCTACCACGTCCTTGGGCAGCCTGTTCCAATGCCTGGCCATGCTTTCCATGGAGAAATTGTCCCTAATTTCCAATCCAAACCTCCTGGGCACCACTTGAGGCTTGGTTTGGTGCCTGATATTCCCTGATATTCCCGTGCAGATCCTGACTCTGTCCTTGTCTCCTCACAGGACATGCTGACCATGCTGGGAGACCAAGGGCCCAACTACAACAACGAAGAATTCCCAGAGCTGAACATATTCCCTTCTTTTTCCGAGTAAAACAAGCCTTAGGGGAGACACCATAAAGCTCTACAATATCCACGTGTAAAGGAAAACAGCCGAGTCTTTCTCTCCAACAACTGTCCAAACTCTTCCCACCCTCTGGAAGGGGAGCTCCGAGGATGGGTGGCCGTGGAGGAGGAGGAGGATGGTGTGGTTTGGACACCTCCTCCCTGTGGGATTGTTCTGGAAGCTCCAGGACCTGAGTGCCATGAGAGCGAAGGCCCCGTGTTCCCAGAGCCGCTCCCGAGTGGATTTCCGTGGGAGGGATTCCTGGCTGGATCTCACACAGCCCTTCCACGCTTTTTAACGTGGCTGTGACTGGTTTTATTTCATTCTCTGCCGTGACTTTTTCTATCAAAACACAAAACTCTTGAGATTTTTAAGTATTGGGAGAAGCTCTTCCAAGCGTTATCCCTGTAAATACAATCCTGGAGGATGCTTGAGTAAGAATCCCTGTCCTGAGCCGGTGTTTTCCTCCTTTTTGGAGGAATTTTGGCTGGTCTTGGAGGGTTGTTACCACATCTCCAGTCCAGGGTGCTCCACGTGGAGATTCCCACGTTTGTTTGGAATCTTCCCTCTCCTGTGAACTGTGCAATGAAGTCAGTGTGACCCATAACCCCCCTCCCCCCCGTTATCCCGGGATAATTAACGAGCCATAAAAATATTATCCATGTAGCTTTCTTCTGGATGCATCAGTTTTCCAGCTGGTGGGTTTCTGTGCTGCCACAAATTGATGTTTCAACAGGTTTTTTGGGGGAAAAAACCTGCCCCACGCTGTCCGTGGAATTTTATCCCATAGAGAGGAGTTCCTTGTTGTCGTCTGGATGTAGGAGAATCCCTGGATTTCATCAGGGAATTGCTGAGGAACTGTGTATTTTCACTACATTTGCTCACTCACCGTCTCCTTAAGGAAGAATTCCTGCCATGGGATGATCCTGTTGCCAAATCACAAACTGTAAGAGGAGAGCTGGAAAAGTAGGGAACAGAGTGATTTTTTTTTTTTTATATATATATATAAATATATATAAAATTTTTAATTTTTAAACCTTGACTTGGAATCTTCTGGCTTTTTCTGTGGGAAAAAAAAAACACAAAAACCAACTTTTGGCCCATCCTGCTCTCCTCAGGGGCTGGAAGAACAGTTTGGTTCCCTCTTGCTTCAATTGAACAGGAAAATTTGTTGCTGAGTTGGACTTGGAAGGAAACTTGGCACAACAGCAGCAGGGGAAGAATCCCAGGTTTTCCTGGAAGCCTGGTTTTGTTTTAAACGGAATGTGGGTGTCTCTCCCTGTTCCCTGCATGGTGTGGGGGGGCTCAGGGGACCCCCAGGGTGGTTGTGAGTGTCCCCTCTGCTGGTTTGGGGCAGGGAAGGGGGAGACTCCACCCCCACAAGAGCTGTAATTCCAGAGCTGTAATTCCTGGATAACATCCACACAGGGAAATGTGAAACCTTTGTGTCACCAGCCCAGAGTGGAGCAGGAAGCTTTGCTTTTCCCTCTCCTTTGGTTGGAAAAGTAAGATTTGAAAGCTTTGGGGTTGGGGGTTTTTTTTGGTTGGTTTTTTTTTTTTGGTGTTTTTTTTTACTCCAAATTTCTCTATGGAAAAGTGGGAACATCCCCCTTGGAGCCATCCTGTGACCCACCCCTGTCCTGTGATCCAGGGACTTTTCTCCCAGCAAGATCCTCCTCCCCAGTCACATCCCAGGCCCTCCCCCTTGAGCTGCCAGAGGAGGAGGAGGAGGAGGAAAATTCCCATTTCCCGGAGCTTTTGTGGATGACTCGAGTGTAAACACCTCCCCCCTTCCCAGTTTTCCAACTCCTGGGAGAAGAAAACCAGCTGGAGCAGCCCAAATCCCTTGGGAAGGAGGATGAGGACTGGGAGGGACTGGCGGGGTGGGGGACAGGGACAGGGCACAGCTTTGGCCCTTCACCCCCCTTTGGGAACTGCATTATTTGTCCCTGGGGGGATTTTATTGAACAATCACTCGGGGGAGGCAGGATCCGAACCCCCCCCCGGGATGTGTCCCAATCCTGGGTTCCTCATCCCAGGAATTCTGGGCAGCAGAGATTTTTACAAGAGATTTTTTTTCCTCTTTTTCAAAGCTTTGTCTCATTTCTGCCTCTCTCTGCCCCCTCCTCGGAGGACTGTGGCCCCCAAAACCCCAGTTCCCCCAGTTTGGCCCCCTAAGGCCCCATTACCCCCCTGCTTTGGCCCCCCCAAACCCCCATTTGACTCCCCTTTTGCCCCCTCCAAATCCCCATCCCCTCCTTTCTCCCCCTAAATCCCCATCCCCCTAATTTGACCCTCCTACAACCCATTTCCCCCCCAAATCCCCCTCCCCTGCTCCTTTCTCCCTCTAAATCTCCATCCCCCTAATTTGAGCCCCCTACAACCCCTGTGCCCCCCCCTTTGGTCCCCCATAACTCCCATCCATCCCCCCAGTTTGACCCCTCAAGGCCCCATTTGTCCCCCCCAAACCCACGTCCCCCCCATTTGTCCCCCAAACCCTGTCCCCTCTCCAAGTTTGGCCCCCCAAAACTCACATCCCCCCAGCTCTGCCCCCCCTCCCCCCATTTGCCCCCCTAAACCCCTGCCCACCCGTTTTTGCCCCCCAAACCCTCTTTGCCCCCTCATTTGCCCCCCACTCGGTGCCCCCGGTGCCCCCGGTGCCCCCAGTGCCCCCAGTACCCGGTCACTTGAGAGCATAAGCATTGAAACAGCATTTTGTGGACAGCCTTGTCCTCTGTTCTGCTAAACTGCAAAGCCGTGGAGGTTCTTCCTTCATCATCCTTCATCTTCTTTCATCTTCCTTCCATCGACGTGGCCTCAGGCTTGTCCAGCTCGGTCACACAACGGCCACGTCAGGGCCTCGTGCTCGGGGCGATGATTCTGTGCTGGAGCCCCAGGGGTGACTCAGCCCCCCCGGGCCAGGTCACACGGGGGGTGACCCCTCTCTGGGGGACCCCCATGGGCAGGGGGTGACACGGGGGGGGTTGTCTCCAGCCTGACCCCCCTCCTTGGTGCTGCTCCATCCCCTCCGCTCTGCCCCGTCCCAGCCCGGTCCCACACGGTCCCTCCCGGTGCCCGCGGCCGGAGGGTGACAGTGCCAGCGGCGGTGACGGTGACGATGATGATGATGTCGATGTCCCCCCGCCTGGCACAGGGCGCTGGTGCCACCGGGACCTTCCGCCCTGTCCCGCAGGAGCCGCGTGACGGGGGGGACGGTCCGGGCAGAAAGCACCGTCTGGTTCCCCCTTCCCCCTCGGGGACCAGCCTGGGACCCCCAAACTGGGCACACGGGGGGGGACCTGCCTGGGTTGGGGACACTGGGGACAGGGATGGGCTCCTGTGCTCTGCTCCTGCTGTCACAGCATGACCCCGATGCCCTCGAGCTGCCGTGTCCGGCCTCTCCTGGAGGCGGTGGGTGCTCAGCCCCCTCACCTCGGGGTGCTGGGGTCCCCAGGGGACCGTGGGGAGGACTCGGGGTCCAGGAGGTGTCCCCAGGGCAGGAGGTGTCCCCAAGGTGGGATGGTGGGGCAGGAGGACATCCCTGGGACAGGGATCCTTGGGGCAGGAGGGTGTCCCGGGGGCAGGGTGGTGGGGTGGGACACCCCTGGGGCACGAGGGTGTCCCCGCTGTGGGACAGTGGGGCAGGAGGGTGTCCCGGGGGCAGGAGGGTGTCTCTGGGACGGGGATGTCGCTGGCACAGGGGTGTCCCCAGGACAGGACCCGGCGGCAGCAGCCCCGCGCCGGGGCTGACTCAGCCCGTCCTCGCAGCATCACGTGAAGCCGGGGCAGCCCCCCCGTCCCCCCCTCCCCGTCCCCTCCGTCCCTCCCCCTCCCCATCCAAACCCGACGCCTGCCCAAATTTTCCGGCTGCCTCCGAACTTCCTCAATCCATCCAGCGGCATAAAAGCGCGGCAGTCCCGGCCCGGCGCTCCCAGTGCTCCCAGTGCTCCCACCGACGGCTCCATGCTGGGGTAAGAGCCCGGGGGGGAAAGGAAGGGGTCCCAGGGCTGGGCAGGAGACCCAGTGGGGCGGTGGGAGGCTTTTTCCCCAGGGAAACGGATCCCACTGGGAATGGGAGGGAAGAGGGTCCCACGTGGGACCCTTAGAGGCACAAAGGGGGACACTGAGGACACATCACGTCTGGGGGGGCTGCGGGCTGCTGTCCCTGTCCCTGCTCCCCCACAGGGCTCTGGGTGCTGGGAGTCGGGGGGGGGAAGCTAGGGAGGGGCAGGAGGGCTGGGACCCCCCTGCCTGCTCCCCCTGCACCCCAAAGTTTGGTTCTCCACGGTTTGGAGCTGCCGGAAAGACACGGACGCTGTAATGGGAACCAGCTGGGCCGGCTCATGTGACGCCGGCGCCCGGCCAGCGCTGCCACGGGGGTGTCCTGGCCCCTTATCAGGGTGGGCGGGGGGTCTCAGACCCCCAAATCAGGCTGGGAAGGGTGTCCTGGACTCCAACTAGGCTTGGCAGGGGGGCCCAGCCCCAAATCAGGCTGGATAGGGGTTCCAGCCCCAAATTAAGGTGGGCAGGGTGTTCCAGATCCCAACCAGGGTGAGAAGAGGGGCCCAGTCCCCAGTTAGGATGGCAAGGGGGGCCCAGCGCCCCAAACTAAGGTGGGAAGAGGATCCCAGCCCCAAGTCAGAGTGTACAGGAGGCCCTGGCCCCAAGGCAGGGTGTGCAGGGGGGTCCTAGTCCCAAAAAAGGGGACAGCCCCCCATACCTGAGTTCTGCCCACCTCCAGCCCCCTGGCTCAGTGTCTGCCCCATTCCCAGTGCTCAGCTGGTCCCCAGGATGTGGTGGCTGCTGGCCCTGCTGGTCCCAGTGGCTCTGGCCCAGTTGCACCCGGAGCCGGAGCTGGACACGCAGTGGGAGCTGTGGAAGAAAACCCACCGCAAGCAGTACAACGGCCAGGTAGGGCAGGGACCCTGGGCAGGGGTGATCTGGGAGCTGGGGACCCCCAGGATGGCCCCAGGGTGGGACACTGGGGCAGGAGGGTGTCCCTGGGGCAAGAGGATGTCCCCAGGGTAGGATCCCGGGGCAGGAGGGGGAAACTGGGGCAGGAGGATGTCCCTGGGGCAAGAGGATGTCCCTGGGGCAGGAGGATGTCCCTGGTGCCAGAGGATGTTCCCAGGGTGGGACACTGGGGCAGGAGAATGTTCTGGGGCAGGAGGATGTCCCCTGAGTGGGACACTGGGGCAGGAGGATGTCCCTGTTGCCAGAGGATGTCCCCAGGGTGGGACACTGGGGCAGGAGGATGTCCCTGGTGCAAGAGGACATCCCCAGGGTGGGACATTGAGACACGAGGATGTCCCTGGTGCCAGAGGATGTCCCCAGGGTGGGACACTGGGGCAGGAGGATGTCCCTGGGGCAGGAGGATGTCCCTGGTGCCAGAGGACGTCCCCAGGGTGGGACACTGAGACACGAGGATGTCCCTGGTGCCAGAGGATGCCCCCAGGGCGGGGGGCACAGGCAGGACCCCCCTGCCCAGCTCTGTCTCGCCCCGTGGCACAGGCAGACGAGGTGACACGGAGGCTGATCTGGGAGAAGAACCTCAAGTACATCAACACCCACAACCTGGAGCACGCGCTGGGCGTCCACACCTTCGAGCTGGCCATGAACCACCTGGGGGACATGGTGGGTGTCACTGGGGGACGTGGTGGGTGTCACTGGGGCATGGGGGGTGTCACTGGGGGCATGGGGGGTGTCACTGGGGGACATGGGGGGGCTGAGCACCCACGGGTGCTCCCACCCCCCCTTCCCCCCAGACTCACCCGCCCCGGGCTCCTTCCCCAGACCAGCGAGGAGGTGGTGAGGACGATGACGGGGCTGAAGGTGCCCCGTGGCCACCAACGTCACAATGAGACTCTCTTTGTCCCCGACTGGACCGAGAGAGCCCCGGCTGCCATGGACTGGCGCAAGAAGGGCTACGTCACCCCTGTCAAGAACCAGGTGAGCCCACCGCTGCCAGGGGTGCCCAGAGCATGGTGTCACCCCAGTGTCACCCCGGTGTCACCCCGGTGTCGCCCCGGTGTCACCCGCCGTGTCCCCACAGGGCCAGTGTGGCTCGTGCTGGGCGTTCAGCTCGGTGGGCGCCCTGGAGGGGCAGCTGAAGAGGAAGACGGGGAAACTGCTGTCCCTGAGCCCCCAGAACCTGGTGGACTGTGTGTCCAACAACGACGGCTGCGGCGGCGGGTACATGACCAACGCCTTCGACTACGTGCGGCAGAACCGCGGCATCGACTCCGAGGACTCCTACCCCTACATCGGCCAGGTGTGTGTGTGGGGGGGGACGGGCCCCACACCTCCCTCCCTCCACCCCCCTCGCCCCCCATCTCACCTCCCCCTTCCCGGCAGGACGAGAGCTGCATGTACAGCCCCACCGGGAAGGCGGCCAAGTGCCGCGGCTACCGCGAGATCCCCCAGGGCAACGAGAAGGCCTTGAAGAGGGCGGTGGCCCGGATCGGCCCCATCTCCGTGGGCATCGACGCCAGCCTGCCCTCCTTCCAGTTCTACAGCCGGGGTGAGGGGCTGGGGGGCACGCTGGGGGGCTGGGGGCACGCTGGGGTGCTGGGGGGCACACTGGGGTGCTGGGGGGCACACTGGGGGTGCTGGGGGGCATGCTGGGGGTGCTGGGGGGCACACTGGGGTGCTGGGGGGCACGCTGGGGTGCTGGGGGGCACACTGGGGTGCTGGGGCTGCCCGGGGGGAAGCCGAGGTGGTGACAGCCCTGTGTCCCCCAGGGGTTTACTACGACGAGAACTGCAACGCGGAGAACATCAACCACGCCGTGCTGGCCGTGGGCTACGGGACACAGAAGGGCACCAAGCACTGGATCATCAAGAACAGGTACACGGGGGGTGGGATGGTGGGATGGCCGGTCACCGGCTCGGGAATTGCTCTTCCAGAGGCTCAGGCTCTGCTTTTCCACCCTCCAGCTGGGGCGAGGAGTGGGGCAACAAGGGCTACGTCCTCCTGGCCCGCAACATGGACAATGCCTGCGGCGTGGCCAACCTGGCCAGCTTCCCCAAGATGTGACACCCCGGCCCTTCCCTCCCCACCTCTCGGCCTTCCAACTCGGCCTCTTCCCTCCCGGTCTCAAAGGACAGCGCTCCCGGGGGGAATTCTGCGACTCCATGAGAAATTTCCCCCGGGAAAGGGGAGGGAACCCCTCGCCCGGCTGCAGTGAATGGAGGGAGGAGCTCCCCCCAGCTCTGTTTTCCTGGGAATTCTCTGCCGTGCTGGCTTCTGCCTTCCCGTGGATCATGCTTGGCCAGATCCATGAAGGCCGATCCATGCAGAGATGCTTCAGGAAATGGGTCCCAGGCCAACCTCTGCCTCCAGGAATACTGGGGAACAGTGGAGGTGGAATATTCCCAATGGAGAGCACAGATCCCTATCGCTCCACCCTGTATCCCGGTGGAGGCTGCTGAGAATGATACGACTATTTTTCAAATAAAATTGGGAATAAAGGCTGGGACCAGTTTGCTCCATGCTGGGAAGGGGTCACACGGATGGGAAAAGTCCTTCCCTTTCCCAAGGGGGCAGGACCCCCGTGGTGGGGCAGAACTGGGAGGGAAGGTGCTGCTGGGGAATTTTTGGATGGACAGACACTGTGGGGCCACGAGAATCCAGGGGTTTTGGGGAGGGGAGGGGGAAAAAGAGACCCCCTGGGGACAAGAGGCCACGGGTGCCCCATGTGGGTGAGGAGGTGACCACAGCACACCCCAAAACCAAACACAGGTATCACACCGGGCCCGACACACCCTGACAGCACAAACACCCCAACACTCACCCACACCCCGGCACACCCCGGAATGGGGGCACGGGGGGGCCCCCAAAAAACAATGGGGACACTGACACACAGGGGTGGGGCCCCAAAACAGTGGAGACACTGAGACACAGTGGGGGGGGGGGACCCAAAACGATGACACAGTGGCCACCCCCCAAAACCCAAACAATGGGGACACTCAGAGGTGACACCACAGCATCTTTATTGCCCCACTCATGCCGGGGGTTGGGGGGGGTTCACTCGTCGTGGCCAGGGGGCGGGGGGGCCACGGCGGCCCCCAGGGTCACCTGGCCCAGGTAGGCGTTGTCGAAGCAGCGGCGCCGCTCGGGCTCCTCCCACGAGCAGCAGCCGTGGGGGTCCCGCCAGGCGTCCTGGGGGCTGGCACAGAGCGTGGCGATGGCCTGGGACAGCTGGGGACAGTGGGGAAGGAAGGGGGGGGGTCAGGGTGGCCGTGGGGGGTCCCCCAGAGCCGCTGACCCCCCCTCTCCCACCCCAGCTCGGTCACTCACCTGCTCCCGGGCGCAGACCCCGCGCTCCTCGGCGGGGAGGGGGCAACACGCGGCCGTCACGGCCCCAAAAAGCTCCGGCACGGGCCGCCTGCGGACACGGACAGGGCGTGTCACGAGGGGGGGGTCAACTCAGGGGTGGGGAGTCTGGGAGAGGGGATGGACTCCTGGGAACCTCCCTGAGAGGGGATCCCTGAGCGCTGGAGGGTCCCCGATGTCTGGGTCCGCTCTGGGATGGGGAGTCCCGGGTCCCCTCCAGCATCAGGGATTGTGGGGTGCCGGGTGTCGGGGGGGTTGCGGGTGTTTTGGGGGTCCCCTACCTCTGCGTGAAGAGGCGGGTGGGGCCGCAGAGCGAGCGCAGCAGGGCGGGGCCGGGCCGGACCAGGCTCACGTTGTGCAGCTCCCGGTCGTAGGCGGGGTGGGGGGCGGCGGCGGCGAAGCAGCGGCCCCGGGCCCGGAGACCCCCGCGCTGGCAGCACCGGTGCTGCGCCGTCTTCACCGCCGACTCCTCCCGGCAGAACCGATTCAGCCCCTTCAGCCACTGCGGGGCAAAGACGGGGGGTCAGGGGGTCCCCCTCGGACCCCCGGGTCCCTCCCAGACATCTGAGTCCCTCCCAAGCCCTGGGTAGTTCCCCGGACGCCTCCGCCCCTTCCCGTCTGGGTCCCTCCCTGAGAGGTTTGTCACCCCCGCAGACACCTGGGTGCCTCCCCAGCCTCTGGGTCACGCTCCGGGCACCTCGGTCATTGCCGGGGCACCCGGGGCCCCTCCCCGGATGCCGGGGGCCCTCCCAAACAAATGGGGCCCCTCCCCGGATACCTGAGGGCCAGCCCAAACACCTGAGTCCCTTTCCCAGACTCCTGGTTTCCTTTCCCGGATTCCTGGGTCCCTCTCCCAGACTCCTGGGTCCCCCTCCCAAATGCCTGGGTCCTCCCAGTCCTTCGACACCCGAGACCCTGCCAAACAGCTGGGTCCATCTCCCAGACTCCTGGATCCCTTTACCAGTCACTTGTGTCCCTTTCCCGGATTCCTGGATCCCCCCAGTCCTTCGACACCCGAGTGCCCCTCATCCTCTGACTCCGGGACCCTCCCCGCCCTCGTGTCCCCCCCCCTTGTCCCCCCGTGCCGCACTCACGGCGCTGTGGGCGCAGCTCAGGCTCTCGTTGCGGCAGCACCGCCCGAACTCTCGCTCCAGGCGGACCCGCAGCCGGACGCGGGGCCCGGAGGGGGCGCCGGGCCCGGGGGGGCCGGGGCGCAGCTCCCGCAGCCCGCAGATGTTGCCCAAGTTGGCGGCCGTGGGCTCCCCGGGCGGGAAGGGGGGCTCGGTGACCAGGTTCCAGGCGGTTTTGGTGTCCCAGGCGGTGTTGGGGTCCCAGGCGGGGGCCGGGGTCTCCTGGGCGAAGCAGCGGCGCCGGGCGGCCCCGTGCCGGCGGCAGCAGTGGAACTGCCGCGTCTTCACCCCGAACTCATCGGTGCAGAACCCGTCCAGCACGTCCGTCCACTGCGGAGCCCCCTCGGGGTCACCCCGGAGCCCCCTCGGGGTCACCCCGGCCCCGCGGCGGCCCCGCGTCCTTCCCTCCGCCGTGTCCCCGCGTGTCCCCTCCCCGCGTTGTCCCCACGTTCCCCTCGCCCCGGTGTTTCCTGCAGTGCCCCCATGTCCCCCCCCCAAGTGCCTCCCCCTCCAAGTGTCCCCGTGCCCCACGGTGTCCCCACATCCCACCCCACCGCGATGTCCCCACTCCCTGCAGTGTCTCTACGTCCCTCCCTCCCAGTGGTGTCCCCCGTGCCCGCAGTGTCCCCCCCTCCCCGCGGTGGTCACCCCGTCCCCCCGTGTCCCCTCCGTGTCCCCCCGTGTCCCCCCGTGTCCCGCACTCACGGCTCGGCGGGCGCAGGGCAGCGGTGCGTGGTGCCGGCAGCAGTTGCTCATGCGGGGCCGCAGCGCGTCCAGCGCGGCCGCCTGACGGCGCAGGTGGGCGAAGGCGTTGGGGGGCAACATCGGGGGAGGGGGGACCGTGGGGGGGTCGCGGCAGTGCCGGGTCACGGCGGCGGCCATGGGCCAGGCCGGGGG